ACTGATGTGCATGTTGTGCCCTAACACTCAGTGCATACCCTCAGCAAATGACTGTTACACCTTTTTTGCTGATTTGGATTAATCTGCTTTATTTCAGGGATAGCAAATCATGATGTTAGAGCTGACAGTGTTCTGGTTCAATTACTCCTCATCCCAGTCACTCTACAAAAGCAAAGAATAAAAGTAGGAGACCATCCCCCAGATATCTGAAGATGAGATATTCAGAATCTATTTGACAGGTGACACATACTCGGTTCTTCGGCACCACTGAACACCCTTTTGATCCACATGTCTTAAGATACCAGTTTTCCTCTACTCACTTCTTTCTTCCTCATAAATTCTCTAGCTAATCCCAGTGTTCCTCACCCCTCAGTACTTCCAGGGATTTTTTGACTCTCATCAGTACATTCAGTAACTTCCCAGTCCCCAAAGCTGTCTGGAGGCATTGCAGGTGTTTAACAACAGAGGGCTCTTGAGTGGATTAGGCTGGAACAGATGACACCGACATTCTACTGACCTTTCCTTCAATGGACACATAACCTGGGGGGTTTACACTGCAAAGTGTCCAGTGGCCATAAAACTCTTCACAGCTGAGGAAGCCTCAAGAACTGAAGGGTCCTGAAAGAAAGGTGTAATACAAGCAGAGCAGACCAAGAGGGCGTTCACTGTTGACAGGGTGAAGAACAAAACAATTTAGAGGTGAACAAATAAACAGGTAAGAAAATTTGCATTTTAAAGATGAACATTTAAAGACAATGAAGAGCCAGCAGACATAATAACAGGGAAAGTTACACATGATCATAATATGTGCATTTCTGTCTCATCCCTCTTAAGTGGAATGTAGTTTGCACAATCTCTATAAATCCATGTTCTGTCTTCACCCTGAATACTGCATGCAATTCTGCAGCTGCCCCCCAGTCTCAGTAAAAACAGGACTGGAAGAAGAGTGAGAAATGGTCAACAAGGACAAAAGGATAGAAATGGGATTTCATAAAGTGAGTTAAAATGGTAGAAAGTATTTCTTTATGAAAAGGGTTCTGCTTCTGTTCGTGACAAAGCTGCCGAGGTAATAAAAGTAGGCAAAGTCTCAAGTCTCTTTGAATTCAGTACAGATGATTTCCCCTGTGCATTTGCATATTTTAGTTGGTGATAAGTGGAAAAAATAATTATCAATTAATTTGTTATTGCAGTGGAACAGGCCTACTGCCTTCCCTGCCTGCAGGCCATGGTTTCATGAAAACCTTTAGGCGAAAAGGAAGTGGTATTGGAGTCTCTTGCAGGGTGGAACTGCTAATTTGAAGGTATCTGCTATCACATCACAATATCATAGAATAATGTAGGTGGCAAGGGACTTCTGCAAGTCTGCAGTCCAACTTTCTCCCCGTGGGCCGTGTTTAGCTGAGTTCTGTATCTCTAAGGATGGGGTTCCCATAGCCTCTCTGGGCAAGCTGTTTCAGTATTTGACCCTCCTTGGTTAAAACAAACAGAATTGTTTCCCATATTGAATTGTTGTAAGTTGTGCTCATTGCCTCTTGTGCATCTCTGGGAAGAATCTGGCTCCATCTTTTCTACACCATTAGCAAGCAGCAGACAGCAGTATGAGCTCTCCTCACCGTCTTCTTTAAACCTGAGCAAATCCAGCTCTTGAATCTTGTCTGTCATGAACTGCAGCCCCCTGACAGTTTGGTGGCCTTCACTAGCCTGGCTTTAGTGTGCCAATGGCTTTCTTAAAATCAGACACAGAACTCCAGATGAAGTGTCACCAGTGTCAGAGGGAGGGGAAGAATCCCTTCCCTCCAAGCCCACCAGTGCCACTCAGCCCAGTTTGCAGCTGGACACATTTGCTCCAAGAGCACACAGCTGACTCATATTCCATTTGACCCCCAGCTCCTTTTCTACAAAGCTGCTCTCTACCCAGTCGGTTCCCAGGCTGTCCCACCGTGTGGGGTTTTGCCAACCCAGCTGCCTGGCTTTGCATTTGCCTTTGCTGAAGTTGATGAGGTGCCCAACAGCTCATTTTTCCAGTCTGACTGGGTCCCTCTGAGTAGCAGCCCTGCCCTCTGGCGTATCAGCCACTCCCCCCAATTTGTATCACCCACAAATGTGCTGAGAGGTCACTCTATCCCATCACCCTGGTCATTAGATCAGCCATTTCAAGAATCCAAGTTGCTGTAACCTATACAAAGCAAGCAAGTCAAACATCCTTCCAGAGAGATGCTTTACACTTCAAAATTTGTTTTACAGAAATGCACACATTGCAGGTTATACCACGGGCTGGTACAGCCCTAAAGTGGGATTTTGTTCTGTGTGCTAGGAATGGATTTGAGATAATACCCTGTACATTGCAAAATAGTATAAAATAGCTTAGCAGAATGTTTTCTGATCTTCCATATGGAGCTTTACAATTCTCATGCATTTTGGAACGACATCCCCAGCAACATGAGCTGAAGGGAACGTTGGTAAACAGGAAGCATTGGTTGTGAAAAGGAACTAAGAGAAGATGGAAGGACATGAAAGAGAGAAAACCCAGCCACACCTCCAAAAATGGGATCAAAGGCACTGAATGTTTCCAAACAAATACTCAAATAAGGAGAGCTGTTTGGTTTGGGAGTTTTTTATGAAGACAACAGGGGAAAAGAAGTTGATGGTGTACTATTTGGACATTGAGTATCTGGAGGAACATACTCTTGGAAGGGATACATTCCAGGCTGAACCTGTGTCTCAGTCTGGTGTTTAAGAAGATGTGGGATAACTCAGGGACATTTATGAAGTGTAGCAGATGCTACAGCCATCACAAAGCACCTTGAGCAGATCACCCTGCCTCCATTCCCACCTCTAACAATGGGAAAATCATTTCTTTCAGCGTTCTTCATTAGTTCATTAATTCAGTGGGACAGCAAAAACATCATATATAGCTTAACTGCCACATGCTTAATGCTGTAGGATCCTAATTTTGTAGGACTGTGCTTAGACACCTACAGACCATAGTACTTCTTTACTCATCATTATCACACACATGTTCACATCAAGTAAATGCAGAGAATGTATAAATGTGACTAAGTGAGGTGCCATGCTTTTTCACTTCTCAGGAAAAGTAACTGCTCTTGCTAAATAAAAAAATTAATAGAACTGTTATTACTACAAAAATAAAGCTTTGCATCTGTTTAGTCAGCAGTATCTACTGTTACACTGCTCTCAAAATCACTACCTTCATCTTGCACTTATATTAACTGTATTCCAGCACTTTCCATAAACATATTAACATTTTGAGTAATATGCTCTGTCATCTTCCTACATGCTCATAATCACAGACACTGAGAAACAAGGCTTTTGCAACGAGTTTAACAAGTTTGCCAATAACAGTGTTATGCTGTGAGAATGTTCCTCAGTAGAACTACGTGCCTCAATAATATTAATATATTCCTCAGATTTAAAAACAGCTTAATTGAAGCAATCATGAGGCACATGCAACCTTGTTTGAGAAAGTATATTTGAAAAGCAAATGCTTCTCCCCACCCCTGCACAGCTCCAGTTGACAGAAAGAAAGAATTCATCAGTAAGAAGGAAAATGCCATTTGTCACATATGACTTGAGCCAGTTTTCAAGTGCTTCAAATGGAAAAAAAGGAATACTATGATATGAAATATAACAGGTTTGCACTGCCACATAAGTTTTTAATTAAAGGAATTCAATCTAATTTTAAAAAATATGATTCTGTGGTAATCCATGTGAACTTCCAATCTGTTACTGGTATCTTTTCTTAGCCATATGCCATGGCAATGAGCTGGACAACCTAGCTCCTCCTCAGTAAAAGTATTTCCTTCTATCAGCTTTCTCCCCTACCCCCCAGTTTCACTGGATGTTCTCCTTTAAACTTTTCCTACAATTCATAGGAAACAGAACTCCTGACTTACATTCCTTACTTCATCACTTTATGTAGTTATTGTTATTCACATCTTTGTGTACTTTCTGATAGAAGCAGCTCTAGATAGAACATTTCAGTCTCACTTGATTTTTCAGTGGGTTTAAGGTTACTTTCCTTTCTTCAGAGAAAAAACTTATCAGCTGCACTGACACATTGCATCAGTCAGTCTCCCGAAGAACAAACATGAAATGTAATTCATCTTGCTCCCTTGGATACTGTTTTCATTGTCATATCCAAAGGTATGCTGGATGGGACACTGTTCAACTGGAAGTTTCATGAAACATCTCTTGAAGACCATTAAAGGTTCTAATAGGTGTGACTTATTGACCGGAAGAGCTGGTAAACAAATGCAGAAGTGACAGTCGAGCCCAGAGTAACTGTAATTAGCACTGTGACTCCATGAGTAATGGGGAAATTGCCCTGACCCAGTTGGGGGCAGGAGCAACGAAATCTGGAAAAATATAAAAAAAAATATCCCAAATAGATGGGTCTTCTACCAAGATTTCTCAGGGTCATGGACAAAAGCTGTGGTTGCCACCCATCCCATTTCACGAGTGCTCCAGTCCACTCTGTTGGGAGACACGGTGGGAGCTCCGCTCCATAGCCAGGCACAGGCACGGGCAGAGAAGGCCGGGCTGGCAGAGAATCCCAGCTGCCTGGGACGGATCTACAGGGCCTCAGAGGCACACAGGGAGCCTCCAGCACCCTCCATCCCTCTGCAGAACACCAGCACTGGGTGGAAACCCCGCTGACTCTGCTGTGACAAAGTTCATCCCGTCCCCCTGTGCCTGTCCAAGCCCCGTTCACGGCTGTCACGGCTGTCACGGCTGTCACAGCTGACGGCCACGCCTGGTGCTCTGCTCACAGTTGCACAAAGGCCTATCAATGGTATATCAATATCCTGCCTTCAATTGCTGTGCTTCCACATTTATCCCACGCTGCCCTGACTTCAGTGCCAACACAAATATCTCACACAGCGTGGATTAATGAGAGCGTGACAAAAACAAATCTGATCTGTCTGTGCATGCTTTTTCTCTGTTGGAGTCGTACCACATGTGATTTTCTACCTCTGCAGATTAAAGAGGAACGATATGATGCAGAAATCACAGCATTTTAATGCACAAGTAGAATTATCCTTCAGTAGACACATGAGAAAAGGTTTCATTTCTTTGATGAAAATACCATTCACTACCAAAAACCCCACCAAACTACCTGCTGCTCTCCAACAGTAAGATGACATGACCAAGAGCAAGTTCTTGGTAAGTTCCATAAAAAACTTTTCATTTTATCTCTGTCCATATCCTAGCAGTGTAAGCCAAGTGACATCCAGTGGGGGTAATAACCTGGAATATAATAATGAATAAAAAAAAAAAACAAACCACCAAACAGCACAAAAATCAATAGTTCAAATTTTGGAGCTCCTGATTGCTGAGAGGAAATGCACTGGTTTTAGTGCAATAATGTGAAGTCTGAAGGAACACTTGGGAAGTATGAGCAAGGAAAAAAATCACATAAAAGCAAGTGGTATTGTTTGTATGTTGAGAAGGGCAACAAAACTAATATGGCACCCAGTTGTAGGTTTTACAAAACAATACAAGAGTTGGAAAGGGAAAGGAAAATATATGCACATATTATACAATGTGCAAAAAATATTTTGAGACTCTGTTTTGGTTGAGGTACAATTAAAAAGTTGTTTGGATTAAAGTACAAATATCCATAACCAGTTTAGGAGCTGGTTGTTCTGTGGTCCCCCAAGAAAAGGAGCAATCAGGAGATGAAGTCTGGCAGATGCAGACTACAGATAGAGCACATGTCTTCAGCACTGGGTGTAATTAACCACCAGACTAACTTACAACACAGTCTGCTGCCACCCTAACTCTCCAGATCTGGATTAAATTACCAAGGAAGTGCCGTAATTCAAAACGAAAACATAGCTACCAAAGCAGGAGGGTCCTGGAGGAGCGGAGCCCCCTCCTCAGAGACTGCAGGGCTCCTTCCCGCTGTGCCCGCACCGCGCTCCGGTGCCGAGTGACAGGTCCCATCTCTCCCCGGCTCTTCCAGCGGCAGCTCCTCCCTTCTGGCCAGATGGACAGCACGGCTTGGTCCGGGGCTCGGGGGGACCTGGCTCGGGGCAGAAAGCAGCCTTTTATAGCCGGCCCGCCGCCACTCCGCTCACACCTTCCCGCTCCGCTCCCGAGCGCGCCGCCGGACCCGCAGCCCTCAGCCCATGGCACCGCTGCCCCCGCTGCTGCTCCTGCTGCTGCCCGCGGCCCGTGAGTACAGCCCGACACCGTCCCCACCGCCCGCTGCTCCCCGGCCCGGGCGCTCCGCACCGGAGGGAGGGGGCTCGGCCGCGTCGGGGGGCAGGTGGGAGAAGGGGGAGAGGAAGGAGCGCCGGGAGAAGCGGTCACGGGACGTGCCTGTCTTCCCACGCGGGACAGCGCAGTCCCCGTGACAGGTGTCCCCGCGCTCGGGCACGGCGGGGTGGGACTCGCCCAAAGGCAGAGCCCGATGTGCCGCTGACAGCGGCGCCGGCCCCGGGCTGGGCTCTCACAGCGCTGCTGGAAGTTCCTCAGCGATGCGAGCTGTGCCAGAAAAGGGGTTTGAAACCAGGCTGCAGCTCGCACGTGCAGGAACAACCTTTCTACAAAGCCAATACCTTCACCCCTGCTCCTCTCCGGGTGCTGGAGTGGAGCTATCCCAGAGCACTCGAGTTCCAGAGCCGTTCGAGGGCAGGAACCGCGAGAACTGAGATTGCTTACAAAACTGAGTTCTCCTGAAAAAAATGAGTCAGTCTTTATAAACAAGTTATGATGTGAGAATGTAATTAAAGGACCCCTGCCTCATACCTGAGCACAGCCAATTACTCACTTTGCAAATATTTAATTATTTTTTTTGTCTCCTATGTCCTATTTATAAAGCAGTATTAAAGACCAGTTGTGGTAATTTACAGTCCATTTCCTCATAGGTTTTCTGGGGTGTTCATCACTGCAGTATCTGAATGTACTTATTTCGTTCCCATAGTGACATGGTAGATCCCAGTTTTAACTGCTTAAAATTATGTGGAACTTCAACTACTCAAAGCCTGGCTCTCAACTGAGTATTGCAGCAGCTTGGTACTCCAACTCCCCAGGACACCCAGCAGGCAGGGACCAAATTATTAGTAAACATCAACAGGCATTGTTTTAAAGTGATTAAATTAACCTCATGCTGAACCTTTGTGACAGGTGGAAGGACAAAATCCACTTTTCCAGAATAGCATTCTGCTGCTTTAATTAAGAGATTCTCTTTTGTCTTCTTGCACTTCTTTTTTTATACATTCCTACACATTCACCACACCAAATCTTGCAAATAACAGGATGACAAGGACAAGGGCCCCAGCTCATTCTAGAGCAGATTCTGGGCATGGAAGGAAGCAGGGGCTGGGGGAAGGCACTGGCACGATTACAGCCCAGAAGGTGAGGTGCTTGCATAATGGGGCTAACTTAAGGCCCCACCAAGCTCCCTGTCCCAGTTCTAATTCCTGACCTCAGCACAGCCCTGTGATTCGTCCAGCATTTTGATCACCCTCCAGACCTCATCCTTTGCACGGCACAAACCTCAGTGAGAGCAGTAAGAAAAGCCATGGAAGCGCTGCCGTGCCAGCTCAGGGCGCTCATTCCAGCGAGCCTGGCTGCGCTCCGAGGGCTCTGACTCAGGCCTGCAGTCACCCACTCCGTGGGCAGTGGGCAGGATGGGAGATGCAATTCACCTGTTTCCCAATGCTTGGGCCACAGGAGCAAAACAGGCAAATTTATCCTTTCAAAAAATTCCCATGTGACCCCAGTTTGTGGAGATAGCACAAGAGCAGTCTGGGCAAAGAGGTGAGCGGAAAAAGGCCACTCCTGATGGCTTATCAAACAAGAGGTAAAAATCTAAGCAAACACCAAGAAGCCTGGCTGTTCTTTCTCAAAGGGTTTTTTACCATTCTCACACACAAATCAATTGTATTTCTTAATGAGGAGATTACATGAGGTATTTAAATTCCATTGTTTTCATGACATTACACGTGCTTGAGGTCACGAGCATCCCACACATTTCAAGTTACTCAAATGTGCTGGGAACAGTGTTTTTTCTGGCAGATTTTCCATTAACTGATTATAGCTAATCATATAATCTATTATAATATAACCTGTTATAATAGATTACTCCATTAGTCTATTATAATAGATTGTGTTATATAGATTATGTAAGAACTGCATAATCATCATAGTTATTTTGTAAGAAAATAAATATCAAAGCCTTCAGCAAGAAAGTCTAAATATTTTTTCTGGTGTTGGTCTCCCTCACAGGTATTATCAGTTATTAATTGTTTATGTCTTTTGCAATCTGTATCCAGTTTAGTTTTATAAACTGTTCTCCTCATATCAAAATAAGTAATTAGTTTAATTACTAAGAAACTCTAATCAGAAACCTCCCACTAATTTGTTTTGTACTCATTCACCTTCTTAAAATGTGCTATAAATAGCTTGGAGCCAGCCCTGCAAGGAGATGCTGCCCATTACCATTAAGGATCTTTGATGCATTAGCTCAACCTGCAGGAGGGCATGAACCCCAGAAAATGTCACCCAGTGTCTCAACATTGTTCTGCTGCTCAGGATCTATTGCTTTAGTATTGACATGGGACAGTTAAAATATAATTCCTAAATACAGTTTGTTCTGGGGAAATACTTCTGACAAACCCTTAAACAACAACGAAACCCAAATAAAATGAAAAACAAAACCAAAAAAACTCCCAACCCCACCTTTCTAATTTCCCTGGAGATGACTCCAAGCATCCACCCATTTCCCTGTTCTATATCCACCACCATCCCCACCAGTTATTTGTCTGCTTTGTCTAAAAATGAGGAAAACCAGAACCCTATCATAGAGGACACATTTGTTCCAATGTAAAGCTTAAATTCTACAAAATAACCATGTGGGCAAAACTGCATGTTATAAGGAGAAAACATTGCAACCCTTGGGGCAGCCAGTCCTAAAAACCTGTGGCCTGGGCCACAGAACAGATGATGCCCTTACCAGTTTTCAGACTGGAGATGACTGAAGTCTGCCACTGTTTGCTGCCTGGAAGGGAGGAAACCCCTGCAGCTGTTCTGACTGGACTGGGGTAAATGAGAGGGGGTCAAGCAGTGTGACCTTGAAGTGTCAAAAACCAAAACTGCATTATTTCCAAATACCATCATTTATTACCAATGCTTAAACACCCCCCCCAACAACACCCCAACCCCCCCAACTACTTTATATTCTCCCGTTTGATTCACTAAAAACTCGTGTTTTGTTTTTCTCCCCAGTTTCCAGCGGCGCTGTCGGGGCCGGCCGGTCCAGGCGGCCCAGGGGGATCCTGGAGCTGGCCGGGGCCATCCGCTGCACCACCGGCCGCTCGCCCTTCGCATACCTGCGCTACGGCTGCTACTGCGGGCTGGGCGGGAGAGGATGGCCCAAGGACAGGGTGGACTGGTGAGAGGAACTCCCTGAAGTGCAGAGTAAAAGGACTGAAATGTCAATCAGGCCTAGTTAACAGCACAGGGGGCTGAGTTCAAACACACCTCAGGAATGTCGTGTTTCTGCAGATCTGCACCAGCCCTGCTTGCCTTCAGCTCACACTTCCCTTGCATGAATGTTGGATTCACAGGACAACTGAGTTTCTTTGCTGGTGCTGTTTGACCAAAAGCTGAATAACTGAAGTCTTGTTGGAGACAGTTTAAAGTTCAAACATGCAAAAAAATCTATAAAAGTAAAAATTAAAAAGGCAATTGAAAAATCTTGTGATTTTACTACCATATCCTTTTATTAGTATTCAAAACAATACATAAAAATTATGCAAAATCCAACCTGTTGAAAAATAAAAATAATTCTAAACCCAAACCTTTCTAGTTAATACAAAATCTCAGCCTATTGACTATCATCAATTTAATTTGTAATTGAACATTAGCTGACAAAAAGATGATTTTCTGGTTTTTTTTCAGGGCTTTTTGCTTTTTTAAAAGTTTCTATGCATGAACTGGAGTTATTGACTACTTTCTAGGCATGTGCTGTTCAACTGTTACGTTCCACAGGATCTTTACAGAGCTATTCGTGTGGAATTACCAAGTAATTACTTAATAAGCATAGGAAAAAACAGTAATTGCAAAGTGAGAGCTCACAGCATTAACTTCTCCTGTTGCAGACACAAATTCCTCAGGCAACCTAAACACCATGTGCTTACTATAATATGATGGTTTGAGGCTCCCAGGAGGAATCAGAAGGAATGCAGAGTTTGTGGATACACCCTGTTCTTCCACCAACTCAAAAAAGAAAGGGTGTCATTAGTTTGCAGCAAAAACTTAAAAGCTCCCTAATTTCAGGTCCTTGTTACCTCCCCTGCTTGCTCTTCTGAGCTTCCAATAACTACACCAGACTCTGCACCAGCACATTTTAATGTTTTAGGCATTAAAATATGTCATTAATGCTCACCTGTCTGCTCAGTTTCACAATGTCATAAAAAGTCTATGAATTCATTATGCCAATTCCGACAAGAACAACTTTGGAATCATAATTTTGAGCAATTTTCTGTATTTTTTTCATGATACTGAACTAACACTTCAGGTGCATGTTTTATTATTTCCCAGCTGTAGTAACATGCTGATAAAACCCACTGACTGTGTGATCATAAATCACCAGTTCTGTCCCTCTCAGGTGCTGCTTTAACCACGACTGCTGCTATGGCAAGGCAGAACAGGCAGGTTGTCAGCCAAAGACTGAGAGTTACCACTGGGAATGCAAAGACAATTCTGCTGTGTGTGGTGAGTGAGCCCTTGAGAGGTTTTGATGGGTTGTTTGTTTTTTTTTTTTTTTAGGGGGAGGGTGTTATTGGTTTGGGTGCTACTGATTATCTCATTGACTTCACAGAATAAAGGCACTTTCTCAATTAACTGTGAAATTCTGACTTTACCATCCTTCCTTTCACGACCTTTTTGCCAGGATGCACTGTGCCTGCAGAGAGCACAGCTCTGCCACCCAACTGAACACAGTTTCTTATTCTCAGTCCCCACCTACTGACACACATGAGCAAACAAAATCCTGATCTGCAAGTTCCTATTACCCTTCCAGAAAACATGGCCAAAAACCTCCTCCTTTTCCTCAGCATTGATATTTGTTGATGTCAGTTACTCTACATGTAATTTTATGCTTCTACCCAGAGGGAGTCGCAGCATCAACATATATACAGGAAGAACTCTTCCATTTTGTGGCAGAAATTGAGTTCAGACACAAAACTGAACACTTGTTCTGCTCCTGGACAAATCTCAGGCAGAGATTTGGCTAAGCTTTTAAAATGTTAAATACTCAGACAAAATGTAATCAAGGATTCCTCAGTTTACAGACAGTTGTAGAGAGAAAAAACCACACATTTCTGGCTTGGCACACTAAACCCAAAATACATTGCTGTAGAAGAAAGTGTTCATGCCAAGAAGAAACTCCCATGCCAAGAAATCTGTTAAGCTGCAACACTACAATTATTAAACAAATATGACAAGACATGGATTTTATCACACTTGAACCCACTTTACCTAACTTCTTACTGAATGCCTTGATAAAAAAGAGGTGGGCAATTGAAGCTGGACATGGAGCATCTTTGCAGCCCATGTATATATTTTTAGTGCTATATCCTTGAGTAGATTAAAGGGTGTGATGGAAACTCTCTTCCCAACCTCAGGCTTCGCTAGAGCAGGAGGGCAAGCAGGGAAGGCCACACACCACTTTCTAAAGAGGAATCAGAGTTGCTTTATTAAAGAATGTGAAGAAGAATATTTAAGTCTTCATGTGACTGCTACATTTTCACCTGCCAAGATCAGTGATCACCGGCTGATCCACGGATCAATTGTTGCTAAACCAAACCATGCCTGTACATTCTCTGTTGGCATTCCATTTGTCGTATTTTATTACTTCAGACTAACATCAAACTTCCTGTGTTTTCTTTCAGATTCACTAGAAGACAAATGTCAAAAAATGGCCTGTGAGTGTGACCGTGAAGCTGCCAAATGTTTTTCTAAAGCTCCGTATCACAGGAGATACCTTTTGTGGCCAGACTTCATGTGTGGGGAGATCCAGCCTCTGTGCAGGAATTAGACATCCACCATCAGTCTTCATGAAACCTCTGTATGTATTTAAATCTAAAATGACTTTTTTGTGTCACAGTAGTGACAAGTGATGTTCCCCTTTGTTGATGCTCCTTCTTGCCACCTCAGCCTCTCTACCCAAGAATGGCCAAAGTAAACATTTATCCTCTCATTTACCTTGTGGAGTGCCCTTTTCTTGACTAAACAGGAATCTGAGTTTATCAGATTAAGACCCGACAACATTAATTTTGTTTATATTGAGATGCACAGATTTGTCAGATTCATAATATCACCTGCTATGAACTTTTCATCCTCCCTCCACTGACTATAAGACACAAATCAAACTCCTCAACTAACATTTATCTTAACATCTGTTAACTCTGAACTGACTGGAAAAATGCATGAAGTGACAGTGTCAGCACAACTGCATTAAACACAACTCCATTAAACACTTACTATAAAAGCCTAATTTAACTGTTGCATCTCATTCACCTTAAGCAATCCTACCTGTATTGAGGAGGGCCTAATTAATTCTATTTTTCTAGGTTTTAAATACAGTTTTCTAAAAAGCTGCTCATTTGACATGGCTCAAGCTCATTACTCTATGTACACCTTGAACTTCCTGTGAGCACATGGAGAAATTCTGCCCTTAAAATTTTAGAGCCACATTTAAAAGTGCAAATGCAAACCATTAGCAAAACAGAGACATGAAAATGCAGCAGCTGTTGGGACCAACTTCCTTTTCTACAAGGGTTTGATCTTGGACAGCAAGAGTTTACCAAGTTCAGAAGTGTGCACACCTCACCAGGATGGAAAGATGGTTCTAACTGGGGTCACTTCATAGGCTTTTCTAACTTTTTAGGAAGAGAAATCAATACCAAGAATTGCTGAATAATACACTTTTTCCTAACTGCTAATTTTAACAGTCACAGAACGAGGAGTGTTTTATGTCCAACTCTCACCCACCTCAACTTACTCAAAGACACAGGGCTAGAGAACAGGTCTGCACAGGGCAAAGCTTTAATACAAGTACTTTAATATAAAAACCCAAACCCAAACAAAATAACCCACTCCTGTAATGGTGAAGATTTCAAAAGAGATCTTTAATCTTTCAAAACATTCACAGACAAATTTAAAGTTCCTATCAGTGATACAAATGAAAAAAACAAAACAACAAACCAATGCAGAATGCAAGGGAACAAAGCTCTTGAAAAATCTGACTTTTTCTTCAGTCAAAAAAAACATACATTAACAAATGTCAATCCTGTTTACACAAAATAACTTTCCAGTCAATATTTGCTCACAGATGTAGACACACATTTTATTGCAGTAAGATGTAATTACAGTGTCAGGTCACTTCCAAAATAATCATTTTTAAGAGATGATCCTGAATTTAAGAATTAGCAACAGAATTCAAGAGGAAAGCATTAAAGGAGCTTTACTGATGAAGTGTAGCTTGTCTGAATAAAAGATTTTCTATGGCAATAACCACATTTTCCAAAAGATGAGAAAACTCAAGTCTTTGCCCTCAAGAGCAGGAATTTTAGAGCAAACTCTGCTGTGAGACTGTGCAGAGACAGTCACAGCCTCACATGGAGAGGAGATTGAAATAATTGATGGACTTTCAATATCAAGCCTATCCAGGAAGAGCATTCCTTTGGCAAACTCAAGTTGAGGAACACATCACTGGGATGAAATGCTAAGTTTAAAAAGAAAAAGAAAGAAATCACTAGAGCAGCTCCAAAGACTTTAAGGCAGGCTGGAAAATACACAGAATGCTCAGAACAGAATAGAGAAGTTTGATCTGATCAAAGATAGGGCAAAATGACTGTATGAGTTTTACATGGCTAAACCAGGAATGTATTTTTTTTTTTCCCCAATGGAAAACTCCTTTAGGATACCAGAGCCCATCCTCCAATTTGGAATCAGCTGGTCTAAGAGTAACTTACCTTAAGGCTTTTTTGGATGCTTAAATTAACACAATCCACCCCTTCTGCTGCCACATACATACAGAGAAGCAATGCTTATTTTAAATGTCCATTTTTGGAAGCTAAACAGCCCCAAAGTTCCCAAGCCAATCACTGCACTTGTGTGTCCAGACGCCTCAGCTCTGTAACCACGAGATCAATGTTTATGATGGGGTTAAAATACAAGGCCCAGTAAAACAAACAATTGCAGACAAACTGAGGAATAAAAGGCCAAAAAATGGCAACGAAAAGACCCTGGACTGAGACTTTCCAGATATGTCTCCACATTCTGTGAGGAATAGTCCTGTGAAAAAGGAAAGGGAGAGGCTTAGAGGGAATTCCTGGTTTGTTTTAACCCACTCTAAGGAAAGCTAATTGGTGTTGCAGCCTTCAGTTATTTAGCCCTTACTTGGGCTTACCCTTTACCTGTAAAACATTGTTTTGCACTCCAGGAGAAGCTTTCTTAAAGGGGAAGCATTAAGTCAGTGTACTTAGGCCCCAAAGCCCAGCAGGCTCCAGTGTCACATTCCAGCCCTGCCACGGGTTATTCCATGGCCCCTCCTGTGCTCCTCTGTCCCCTGGCGGCTGGCAAAGGGAAAACCCACTACACAGCACAACAGGAAGGGCTAACACTGGAAATGAGACCACAGCAACTATGAAGTAATTATCAATATGCTCGAATTAAGATTAAAGTAATAACAGAAATTCTGGTAACTGATCAGAAATAATACCAGCATACCTGAACTTATTGCTGGTTCTGAGGACTCATCCTTTAATAACTACACTGGAAGCCTGTCATGACAAAATTGTGATGCATTTAGGCTCAGCTGGCAACTAATAACAGTTACCACAAAAGGCAGTTCTCACAGCAAGGGTCAGTGTTTCCCAGAGGTTGAGAACGTAGTTATTGCTGGTTTTGCATTTGCTACATCTGATAAGTAAAACCAGCTGTAAGAAACCCTATCAAATATTCACAGAAATAAAGACATTCAGAAGTACCAGCACATGTAGGAATTCAGATTCTCATGTTCTTATTAACCTCATTATGGTCAGACACCGTCATTTCAGTGAGCAACTGTGAAATCATAAGACTGTTACTATTTATAAGGCCATGTACTTCCTACCCTCTTCAACAAGCTCAGTAAGACTTACTTCAATTCTCTTCTTGACCAGAGCCTCCAAAAAGAGAATAATTCCAGAACAGAGAGCAACATGGCATTCACAATTATAAATCTTGATGTCCAGTAGTGCACATCCAGCCAATCCCAAGCAAATTCAGCTATCAACTGGTATGGCAAAAATAAATATTTTACAATGAATTCTCTCCACTGTTTCCAAGAAGGATCTTTAAGGTCCTGTAAATCAGGATAAAAAAACTGTTAAACAATTTTCTATTAAACAAATACAATACTGGCTTATTTCCACTGGTCTTTTGTTAAAAAGCTGTTTTTTAATCCATTGAAAGCAGCAATTTGTCTTTACTATACTTGCTGATAGATAATACTACAACACAGTAATTTGCATTAGATTAGAACATCACAGACTGCCAGACCTTACAATACCCTTTCTTAAAATACAGGTAATTTGAGTGAAGAGCCTCTCTGTAGTCTTGTGAACTTCAGAAGGATAACAGTCACACATCCAAAGTCTTAAAAGCCTTAAATCAATCTTATTAAAGGTAATGGTTCCAACTCTGGTGATCACATAAAATCAAGGAACTCTGTAAGTTTGTTTTTTTTAAAGTCACAGTGTCAAGAGATGAAATGGTAAATAATTACTTTATGTGTTTTTATGCTGCTAGTCTTAAAATGCTTGTAACTAAAGCAAGTAGCCCAGTTAATGATTTGAACACTTACCAGCAGCTTTGTGAAAACATCTTCATGCTTGTCTTCTTGCATAGGACAGATTGTGTGGATGAAAGGTAAGAAAGCTTCTGCATAATCAAACAAATACAGGTACAACATACTGAGTCTTGGAGAGCTCTTCAGTGCATACAGAAGAAAGAGGGATTTTCCTGGATTTACAGCCTGAAAGAGATCAAATTACCAAGTTCCAATCAGTGAAAAAACAAAATGAAAGGACACTCCAGTTCTTAGATTTTCTGACAATTATTTTTCAAAGCATCATTTTTCAAACACAGCACTTTAATTGAGCAGTTTTTACAAGTGCAATTCCACTACCTTAACACTCCTTCTGCCTTAAAAAAAAAACAACTTCTTTTAAAGATACTATTTTAAAAATACAGAATACTCATGACACACTTAATATAAAATTTACCTTATATTCCCAAAGGTTTTGTGGTGGTTTAACACCTAAAGCTTTCACATATTCCAGTTCTGCCATGATGGCTTTCCTGTGGTTGCTGTTCTCTATGCTGTAGGGCTCTTTGGTGAAATCCTCCTCTGTCAGTGTGAGCAGCAGCCTACAAAAGTAGAATTCAGAAGGTAAACAGTGTCTCTTCACCAAAAAGATGTGACTCACAAACAAGCAACCAAATACTGAAACAACAAGGGACTGATAGAAGGCAGCACCTTTTGGATTACAGAATGAATCCCAGCATGCTTTGGGTTGGAAGACCTTAAAGATCATTGTTAAATTGCATTCCATAGCAAGTGTTCACACCAACTGCATCTCAGAGCCTGGGTTTTAAAGACCCTTCTTTTCCAGTTTCCTCTTGCCTGCTTTCAGCAGAGCTCTCAGGTGGAATGCAACAATGCACGTGGCACATCCATACATCCAAAACAAAGGGAAGGTGGGAGGGGTGGCTAACACAAGTAGAATTTTACTCTCAGTATCATTTCAGTCCGCACGGTCAGCAGTTTTAGAAGTTCTCAGAACATTTTCAAGTAGCTTGCTTAGTATCTACTACTCAAGTTTTCAGCAGCAATTGTTACAACTTCTCCTTTAATTCATTCTGGTACATTACAGAACATTCCCACAATCCATGGAACACATCTCACAACAAGCCACCCCTGATGAATATGTCAGTAATCCCATCACACAACAGTTGTTCTTGGCCATCAGGCCCCTCACCTTCCATTCACTTTCTCCAGTAAAAACCTTTCCTTGTAATGTGAAGCCCACGGGCCCAGCTGCTCTAGCCAGAGGATCACCTCCTCAGCACTCCATTTAGCAACAGGCTTGTGGACAAGATGATCTTCCTCAAATTCTCTGCTACTCCAGTGATAGCCAAGTAGAACTACCTGTGGGTGGATTAAAAAGATAAAAACCCCCTATATTCTACCTGCAAAGCAAATACATTAATGATAAATACACCATAAGAGTTTTGGCACTTAGAATTTTCCAGTTCATGGGCCATAGAATATTCAGGCTATAAGAAAGTATCTTGAGGTTTTCCCCACTTTGTCTGACTTCCATCTAAGCTGCATTGCAGTTGCAGTTCCTGACAGACCCCTGCAGGCCACTCTGCTCAGCTGAAGGCTCTTCTGTGCTGACAATCCTTCGTATGTGCACGAG